AGGAGCAGTCTCTGGGGTAGAAGAGGCCAGGCTCAGCGCCAGAGCTGTGACATCAGGGCTTGTGTAGCCCATGGTCTGAGGGTACAGAGGAGCATCTGCCATAATGCATTAGAGAGATTGCAACAGCACAGGAAATAAGGGAACAGGCAGTCACTTCTATGAGCTGCGTAAAGCTGGAAAGTTAGAGAGCCTGGAATTGGAAGGGACCTCCAGGGAGCAATTCAGTTTAATATAGCCAACACTTACCCAGCACCTGCTTGCACAAGGCACTGTGGAGTGGAAAGATACAGAGATGTGTCCTTCTCCCCACTACAAGTTTTCTATCTGCTGTGAAGGAGAGACCCGTGCACCGATGGCTCTAACATAGAATAGAAGGTAATATGCGATATAATAACAATGCAATGAACAAAGCGCTGCTGCAGAGGTGCTGTCTCATCCTCAGGGCGGCTCTGTCAATGGGACAGGGGTTAATATCTTCCTGTAGGGTTATGGAGACTTAAGTGACTTATCCAATTCACATGATTGGGAAGTGGTAAATGCGAGATTTGATCCCATGCTCTTTCTACTACATCCCTTCACCCCTATGCATTTCTTTGATAAGAAATATCGGGGAAGTGTTGGAAGAGCATAGAACAGGATTGAAAATAATTGGGGGATAAAAGCAGGGAACCATAAATGCTTCCTAGAGAAGGTGGCACTTAAACTAGGCCATGAAATAGGTAAGATTTCAACAGACATTCATGAGAGTGGGGCAGGCATTTCAAGTTTAGAGAATAATACAAACAAAAATAAGGAGACAAAATAATGCCTGTATGGAGAATATAGTTCATGGTACATTTTGACTAAAGTGTAAGGTCAGAATAGACTGAAGGAGGCAGGAAAGTAGCAGAAGACAAGTTTGAAAATTAGGTCAGGGAGCAAATCAGAAAGGACTTTAAATGACATATTAAAGAGCAAAGGCTTTATTTCTAGGCAATGGCAAGCCCCAAGGGCTAGAGGGATGATATCATCAGAGCTATTATTTAGGCAATTTAATTTGAAACCAGTGTAAAGGAACCGCTTATGTAAGCACTCAAGCTACAAGCCCTTGCTATGTGCCAGGCACGGTGCCCGGTGCTGAGGATACAGCAATGGCTTAAACAACAGTCCCTGCCCTGAAGAACTTGGGGTCTGGTAGGAGAGATGAGGAGGGGGAGAGGCTGGAACCTGGGAGAGCAGTTGGAAGCAAATCTGGTTAGATCCGCCTTCAGAATACATCCCCTCCCACTGTCACCTCCCCCCCGCCCAGCTATCAGTTTTCACTTGGACTATTAGAGAGAATGTCTAACTGGACCCCTGCCTGCTCCACCCTTGTCTGTCCCATGTCAGCCACACAGCACTCTTCTCAGCCCCCCTACAGGTGCTCATCGTGCTGAGAATCAAATCTAGGGTCCGTGTCATGGCCTACTGGCCTCACGGTACGACTCCTGACTTCTCTCCCCACCTGTCTCCTTCCACTGCCCTCTCAGCTACCCAGTCCACTGGCCTCCTTGCTATTCCCTGAGCACACCACACACAGGTGTGTCTCTGGGCTTTTGTACTTGCTGTTCCAGCTGCTGGAAGGTTCTTCCTGGAGCTCTCTAAATGACTTGCTCCATCCCTTCATCCTGAAAACATTTTCCCAGAACACTTCATACAAAAAGCCCCTCACCCTGCTTTATTGTTCTTTAAAACATTCTCTGACATATTATATATTTGTTTATTTTCTGGATCCTTCACTAGAATATACGTTTAATAAAGGCAGATATTTTATTTTATTCACTGATGTATCACCACAGCCCATCCCACTGCCTACCTGACTAAGTTCTTAACGACTATTTGTTGAATGAATAAATGAATGAATGAAGCTATTGCAAAAGCCCAGATAAACTCAAAGTATAGCCGTATAAATGAAAAGATGATGAACTCAAACTCTTCCCTGACTGCCCCTTTCCTGGGAAACTCAGATGGGTAGAAGGGGGTGGGGGTAGCTGTGATAGGTATTCTTAAGCCTCACTTGCTTATAGAGGAAACTGCAGAAGATAAGGGACGTCTCCCTCTCTCTGTCTCCTCATGGGTCTCTGGATCTTTTTCACTCCACCTGCCACTGAGTCCTGGCAGTGTTGGATACCAGCTTAGAAGCTGTTCAATTCAAACAGTTATTGAGCATTTGTGGAAGGGGGGATGCGGACAGAGGGAGGAGAGAGAGACGTGGGGAGAGAGAGAGAGAGACTGAGACACTACCCAAGGAGCTTAAACCTGGCGTGAGAAGGCAGACACACTGGACCATTTTTCTAAAATGGGATTTGAGTGCTACATAGGGGAAGGGCCCCTGACCTGGAGGGAGGAGGGGCTAGTTAGAGAAATATTCCCATAGGAGGTAACAATTGAAAGTAAGAATTAGCCAAGCAAAGAATTAGAAAGGCATTCTAGGCAAAGGGAATGGTATCAACTAAGGCAAAGAAAGAGTCATGTGATAATATGTAAACCAGGGAGCCACGGAATTTCACTATTATAAGAGCATAAATTGTGAATTAAAGGCTTTCTTTCTAAGAGTAGCAGGAATGTGATTGGGGTTTCACCCAGAAATCATGTGTCTGGCCCACATGAGCATAGCCTTGCCTCCACTTTCTTGACACACAGCTACCCTTAGCAGCGGGGGCTGGCTGTTCCACAAGTGCCAAGCGCATAGAGAGAAAGCGAGGAGGGTTCTCCTGGGCCAGGAAGGATGAGAGGACTTTGTTGCTCTGGGGAGAGCCATGAAGTACTGACCCTCCTTCCCCATTGATGCATCTCCAGCTGCCACCTAAGGGGAAGCTTCGGAGCCTGTGTAGCCAACATATGGAAAAGCTGCGAAACTTCCAGCATCTCCACCCCATCGTGGTCCAAGCTGCTTTCCCCCCACTCTACAAGGAACTCTTCAGCACTGAATTCGAGTCACCTGAGGGGCTGTCCGAGTGACCTGGAAGAGGGACTCCTTTCCCTTCCCAGAGCCTGCTGGACCACCTCCCTGGACCCCCTCCCACCCTCAGCCTTTTCCTTTCCCGTGCCTCCTGGAGAGTGGCCCTATCTGCTCTGTAGGACTGAGCAAATGCTGAGGCTGGTTCTCTGCCCACAGACCTGCCTGGCAGTGGGCCAGAGCCAGAGGACAGGGATGGAGGAACAGCATCTCCAGCCTCAGCTTTGTTCTGTCCTCTTTCCCATGGGCCTCCCCCCAGCTTCTGGAGCGGGGAGGGATAGGACCTCTAGGAAGACCAAGGTGTCCTCAGGAAGACAGGGGGATCTAGGACACCCTGAACGAATGGAACTCAACTCTGGGCTCAGAAGGCAAGAATATGCCTTTGAAATACCTCATTGTATTTTCCTGTGGGCTCCAGCGGAGGGAGAGGCATCAAGCTCAGAGACTGGTGCTGGAGCCCAGAAGGACCTGTTAGAGAACTTGAATCTGGATCTTTAGATTTCCTGCCTTCTCCCTTCCTCCCAGCTCAGCAAGGAAACGATTAGGCGCCCTGCCCTTTTCTTGGGGTCTTAAAAAAAAAATGCATACATGGACAATGAGGGGCTGGGGTTAATTTTTTAAATGGGATTTGGGCACAGGATAGGGGACAAGGAAGGTCAGGGGCATCATAGACAGAGAGAGAGTTAGAACTCAGACCTCTTATGCGCACTTTAAAAATAGACATTAGAGGTTAGCACAAATCTGATCAGTGACACACATCCACACACAGGTGAAACACACACGCAACCTGCAATCATGCAGCTCTGCAGACACACTGGATCCGACACACTCTCTGTCTTCCTTGAGGTAACAGCTCAGGGGAGCTTCAGGAAGAGCGCCAATCCTGGGGGACCCCAGAACATTCCCATGGTGCCCCACCCACCAGCCTTAGACCTGGGGGGCTCCAAACTCTGTCCCAGCCCCGCTGTCTCCTATCACAAGAAAATCCAAGAGAAGCTGAGTTGGCTGGACACTGATCAGTCGGAAGGCCAAGGACAGACCCCTGGAGGACTGCGTGGGCCCTGCTCTCTGGCCCTGCTCTGCTTAAGGAGAAAGGAAGCAGATGCAGCTCTGCCACTCAGCATCGGGAACCACCGACTCCAGCAGGGGGGAGGCCCTCCTTTTGGCTTTAAAAAGAGCTGTGAGACCTCTGCTGAGGGATTAGCAGCAGGTCCTGGGAGGGGGGGTTGCCTGGCAGGGGAGGGGCTAGTTGGGTAAACGTAAACCCCAACTTGTGCCATTCTTTATAAAATAATTTTAAAGGCAAGAGGTGTGTGTGTCGGGGGAGCCTCAAATGAGATTACCTACACACTGCTCTGCAGTCTGGCTCTGGGTGGGGACCCAGGTTCTCAGCCCAGCCACCAGCAGTGTTCCTGAGGACTCTAGCCCCCACTTCCATCATCCCTCCTGAAGCGTGGGAGCCGGTCCGCAGGAGCCCCCGTGGAAAGAGCCTCAAACTCATCTCCACAGAGGGTGTTCTGGGCTGAGAACTTTCCCCACAAATGATACCCACAGGGGACATTTACACTGAGAGGTTACACAGAATTACCTTGCCTCTGGGAGACTGAAAGACAACCCTAAGGAAGGTGCTTGGCCCCAGAGCTCCCCAGAAGGGAAGCAGGATGTCCAAGAGACCCTTCGGAGCTGCCCAGCCGCTTCTACTGCCCAACCCCACCCTGGGGGGGCCCCAGAGCCTGCCTGGGGGGGGGCCTACCCCCTCACTCGCCATCCTCCAGTGGTGCTTGCTGCAGCCCTCCCTGGTTGCTTTATTTATTTATTTTGCACCAACAGGGTTGCTGCAGACTCATTCTCGCCTGGTTTAAAAAGAGAGAGAGGAAAAAAAAAGGAGAAATGCTTTCTGGCTCTTTTTCTACCTCGGTCTTGGCAGCAGCGGATGCAGCACCAACAGAAGCAGCGGGCAGACAGGCGGACAGCCGGACAGGGGGGCAGGCGGGCAGGCAGACAGACAGGCGGGCAGGGGGTCAGTGGGAGTGAGCTCCCGGGGGGCGGTGCGAGCCAAGGTGCAGCAGGAATGGGACGGGCCCCCAGCCCTGGACAGATGCAGCGCCCAACTTGATGCGGCTCCCCGGCTTCTCCGGTAAGTGCCCCCACCTCCCGTCCCAGCGCTATAATTGCCCTTCTCCGTAAAATTCTCAGTGAAAAGGCCAGACCCGTGTGCCTGTCAGGGCTGGAGAATTTGTGGCCCCGCCCCCACCCCCAACCCCCAGCCTAACCATTGATCCTGGCCCAACAGGACTTTGATGGGAGAACTAAGATGTCCCAAGTGCCCCTGGGGGTACAGACTCCAAGGAGACCTCTCTGTATCTCCCCAGTGCTCCCTCTACCTCTGACAAAGGTCTTCTGGCCCCCAAATCAGTGTGGATATTCCAGAAATCTTTCCTCCAAGAGCCCCCTCCCCACACAGGTCCCCATGCCTCAATCAGGTTTGCTTTAAAGAGGATATCCAGGTTCAAAGGTGTCTCTAGACTGCAACACAGAGACAAAAGAAGCACCCTATTCCTTTAGGGGATGGTGCCCCAGACCCCAGCCCATTTAAGGAGAGAGAGAGAAGTGATTCTGACACCTATTTCTTCCTGCAAAGCGGCCGGAAGCCAGTCCTGTAGCCATGGAGATTGGCAAGGGAAGTTTGTGATTAAATTAGCCATCTTATATATAAAGTAAAGGGGTTGGGCCCAGATCCCCCAGCCCCTGGCTCAGCAGGCTTTGGGAACTAAGAGGGAAGTCACAGCAGTGGGAAGGGGGGGAGCTGGGCTACATGCTTCAGTGCACTTTTCTCGAATGCAGAGCAAAAAAGGGATGAGCAGGAACTGCAGCAGTGGTGATAAAGGGATAGCTGTCAGGTGGACTTCCCAGAACAGGCACAGGGAGAATGAGGGAGGCTGGGGCATTCGTCTCCCCCAGAGAACTCTTAGCATGCCATAGATACCTGTTAGGTTGGGACAGGGACGAGAGGAGACTGGCCAGCAGCCTTTGCCTGCCCCATGCCATTCTCTCTCAAGCCTCAGAGTAGCGTCCTGCATCCCTCTGCTGTTCTGGCCTCTCTCGTCAGTTTCCCGGTTCCTACAGCCTCTGAAGTACTATACACGACAGTCCTAGAGGGGGGTACAGAGTGGGAGGAAAGGAGAAGAAATCATACCGTCTCTTCATCTGCCCCTCCTAAGTTCCATGTGGGAGAAAAGGAGGCATGCAGTAGGAAGCTAAGCCTGTTAGGGCCCAGAAAGCCTGAAGCCTGAAAGCCCAAAGGTGACCAGGATCTGCAGCCGGAAAGAAACCTGGGCATTCTGCCTCCCTCAGTCCTCCCTTGCCAATCGCACACCCTCCCCTCCCTGGGGGTCCCTGTTGGCACTGAACAGGATGAGTCACGGGGCCTCACCACCTTTCTCCTCTGTCACCTCAGTCAGTGTCCAATGGTCGCCGTAGTCATAGTCCTCCTGGATTTGTCTAGACCCCTGGCACCCAGAGACCCACTTTAAGTGAGCAGGCTGTGCACACAGCCTGTGTCCAGAGATCTGTGGTGCCAGCGGAGGGCCGCCTTGCTCCCACACACCATGTCCGGTTGGCGCTCTCTCTCCGTGCTGGTCTGTGCCTCCCTGGCTCACAGTCAGTCTTGTGTATTGTCAGTGCCAGAAGGGCTAAGAGATTCCCTCACATTCACACACTGGGCTTGAATCAAAACCCTATGAAGGAGGGACATAAGAGAAGCGTAAGTCTGAGGACCCAGTGACAAAGCTCCAAACTCGGGCATCTCCTGGGTCCCTCACAGACCCCAGCAGCATCTGGGGAGCATCTGGGGAGACTGGCTCTTGCTAGTCCAGGGCCTCAGAATCTTGGCCAGGCTGGAGGAGGGCAGAGAGGCAGTAAGAGGAGACGGAGGGGCTGAGGCCCGCAGGGTTCCCACCCTTGGGCGACTGACTCACAGTAAGGCCTCTCTCCATTTAGGAACCGGGGCTATGATCCCACTGAGCCTTTGACAAGGCTACAGGTAGATAACAGGAGAGGAGAAGAGAGGGACAGAGCAGAACTGGGGGAGAGCACGTATCAGGGAGAAGGGACCTGAAGCATTTCTGGATCTCATAGATGCAGCGAAAAACCCATTGCAGGGAGACTCTAAGTTACCTCCCACAGCTTCCTGTCCCAGTCCCAGGCCTATAAAATGTCCCCACAGAAATCAGGTTTGACTAGGATTCTATGAGTGAGCATCACTTGACCTGCAGGCACCTAGGGCCCAGAAGAAAGGAGATTCCCCAAAGAAAAGCTGCTGGAAGCCCCAGGGAGGTACACACTAGAATTCCTCCTGGTCTGTGCCCCAGTGCCCAGCAGTGCTGAGATGGTTTCTCTCTCTCTCTCTCTCTCTCTCTCTCTCTCTCCCCGCCACACACACACCCCCAACCTCCTCTGCTCTAAAGAGGCCCAGGGAAGTCTATGGTCACCATCACCTGAAACCACTTTCCAAAAAGGTCCATGTCATCATCTGTTCCAGGACTGAAGAGGGAATGGCTGCAGCCACAATAGCTCCAATGCAAGCCTGGCCCCCGTGGCCCCCTCTCCTTTTCTTGCTCCTCTTGCCTGGAGGGAGCAGTGGCAGCTGCCCTGCTGTGTGTGACTGCACCTCCCAGCCCCGGGCAGTGCTCTGTGACCACCGGAGGCTGGAGGCCGTGCCTGGGGGACTCCCAGTGGACACTGAGCTCCTGGACCTGAGTGGGAACCGCTTGTGGGCTCTTCAGCAGGGGATGCTCTCCCGCCTGGGCCTGCTCCAGGAACTGGACCTCAGTTACAACCAGCTGTCCACCCTGGAGCCGGGGGCCTTCCATGGTCTACAAAGCCTACTCACCCTAAGACTGCAGGGCAATCGGCTGCGAATCATGGGGCCAGGGGTCTTCTCAGGCCTGTCTTCCCTTACCTTGCTGGACCTCCGCCTTAACCAGATTGTCCTCTTCCTTGACGGAGCATTTGGGGAGCTGGGCAGCCTCCAGCAGCTAGAGGTTGGGGACAACCACCTGGTGTTTGTGGCTCCAGGGGCCTTTGCAGGGCTGGCCAAGCTGAATGCCCTCACCCTGGAGCGCTGCAACCTCAGCACAGTGCCCGGCCCGGCCCTGGCCCGGCTCCCAGAGCTAGTGGCCCTAAGGCTTCGAGAACTGGATATTGGGAGGCTGCCGGCAGGGGCGCTCCGGGGGTTGGGGCAGCTAAAAGAGCTGGAGATCCACCACTGGCCAGCTCTGGAGTCCCTGGAGCCCGGGAGCCTGGCTGGGCTCAATCTTAGCAGCCTGGCCATCACCCGGTGCAATCTGAGCTCCGTGCCCTTCCAGGCGCTGCGCCACCTGAGCTTCCTCAGGGTCCTGGATCTATCTCAGAACCCCATCTCGGCCATCCCAGCCCGAAGGCTCAGTCCCCTGGTTCGACTCCAGGAGCTTCGACTCTCCGGGGCCTGCCTCACCTCCATCGCTGCCCACGCCTTCCATGGCTTGACTGCCTTCCACCTCCTGGATGTGGCGGACAACGCCCTTCAGACACTCGAGGAAACGGCATTCCCTTCTCCAGATAAACTGGTCACCCTGAGGCTGTCTGGCAACCCCCTGACCTGTGACTGCCGCCTCCTGTGGCTGCTCCGGCTACGCCGCCGCCTGGACTTTGGCACGTCCCCCCCTGCCTGTGCTGGCCCTCAGCATGTCCGGGGCAAGAGCCTGAGGGACTTCTCAGACATCCTACCTCCAGGGCACTTCACTTGCCAACCAGCCCTGATCCAAAAGTCTGGGCCACGATGGGTCATCGCAGAGGAGGGTGGACGTGCTGTCTTCTCCTGCTCTGGGGATGGGGACCCCACCCCCACTGTCTCTTGGATGAGGCCTCCAAGGGCTTGGTTGGGGAGGGCTGGGCGAGTAAGGGTGCTAGAGGATGGGACGCTGGAGATCCGCTCAGTGCAGCTACGGGATAGAGGGGCCTATATCTGTGTGGTCAGCAATGTCGCTGGGAATGACTCCCTGAGGACCTGGCTGGAAGTAATCCAAGTTGAGGCACCCAATGGCACTCTCTTTGACCACAACATTACCATGCCAGGGGTCCCAGGGCCTTTCTTCCTGGACAGCAGAGGTGTAGCTATGGTGCTGGCAGTTGGCTTCCTCCCCTTCCTTACCTCTGTGACCCTCTGCTTTGGCCTTATTGCCCTCTGGAGCAAGGGCAAAGGACGGGTCAAGCATCACGTGACCTTTGACTTTGTGGCACCTCGGCCCTCTGGGGATAAGAACTCTGGGGGTAACCGGGTCACTGCCAAGCTCTTCTGACCTTAACTTTCATGCTGGGGACCCAGCCTTCCAGCTTCAGATACCAAAAGGGATGCAAACCAAGACCATGTGGACCAGAACCCCGTCCCAAGCAGCACAGGCCTCCCACACTTCCTGCCTGCACTGTTAGCACAGCTATGATGCCTCCTAATAGAGAGTCTGCCTCATGCTTTTGCAGCCTGAGGATAGGGTTGTCGCCCCTTCCCGGAGGGCCCCAGGGCTGGAGATATAGACCTTATAGTCAGCCCAGCCTTGCCCACCATACACAAAGCAGGAAACATAACCAAGGCTCCAGCCTGCTGGTCTAATCATCAGTCTTCCCTTACACATACTTACACTCTTTCATAATCTGTACCAACTGCCAACCACAGCTTTAAGATTATTTCAGAGGGAAGTGTCAGTTGCTTCTTAGAATCTTTGCTCCTCAATCAGGTGCTGTCCCTCTCTTACTGCTTTGTCACCTTCTCCAGGCACAAGGGACTAGAGTTGAGGACCTCAGGCTAAGGAGACGAGGGTACAGTGTGGGATGGGGGAAGACAGACTACACACTGGCGCTGTGTCTGCATGAGCCTCCACTACCTGCCTCTGTCACACCATTAAACCTGCTGCCCAAAGCCCATGACTGTAGCAGCCCAAACTACATGTGATTTCTGGAGTTTTCTTTACTTCAGACTTTTTGTGCCCCTTATTGCTGTCAAATCTCCCCCTTCCTGCCCTTCTTCGCTGCCCATTGAGCGTGTATCCCAATAGCCTTGCCTGCATCTAATATAAACAGGAGTTTATGCAAAAGTTGACCGGCCAGGCCCGGAGAGAGCAGCACTCCTGGCCCATCTCAGTTTCCACCCCTTCCCCATACTCTGGTCTCTAGGGTTGCAGGAGCAGTACTCCATGTCCCAAGGGATTCCGCTGCAGAAATTCCAACCCAGGACACTCAGCTCCATCCCTCCTTTCTCGTTCTTATTGGGATCTGCCTATCATTACTGTGTCTCAGATCCCTACTGCCCTTGAGGGAAGGCAAGAGGGGAACTCTTAGAAAATGACTAACAAAAGCAAGAATCTGCCCTTGTCAAAGGAGAGAGACCCAGAACACAGCAGGACTGGGCTTGCAGGAACAGGGGAGGAGGGGCTCTGAGCGCTTGAGTGAAAATGAGAAGAGGCAGCAGCAGGAATGCCTCCTAATTCACTTCCACTGCCCTTCCCCCAGCTCCCTTGTTTAATGCAGCCCCAGCGGGAAGCCTTCTCTGGAGAGAGGTCACTGTCTGATGGAGACCTCTGGTGCAGAGGCAGGTAGGAAGAAGAGATGCTGACTATCTCCGAGTGTGCTTCAAATAGAGGGCAAAGCGGAGCCAGAAAAAGTAGAGACACTGAGAGCTCAAGGGAGAGCAGCCTCGATGTCATCAGAAGGGGAGGAGTGAAGGGAAAGGAGCGGAGCGGGGAGGAGGGGCAGAGAAGTGGAGGCCACACAGCCCTGGAGGGCTTCTCTGCGTCATCCACCCTCAAAAGCCCCCACCCAACCTTCACCAACAATCTGCAAGCGTGATGACCTCCTAGCTAATTCCTGCTGCAGTGGTTCTGGTTCTGAAAGACCACTCATTACTGTCCCCAACAAGTGGGAGGAGCCGGCACCGGGAGGACACAGCAGCACTTCACGCCAGGCTAGCTTCTCAGTTGGGCAAGGTGGGAAGCTGCGGGTGGGGCCAGAGGTGAAAGTGAGAACCCCGGGTTTAAAGACTGAGTCTGGAGAATCAATAATTGCGAAATGGGTGTCCCTGAGCCTCCACCCCTACCCCCGCCATGCACACACAGTTCTCCTTGTATCCCAACCATCTCCCTCTCCAGTGTATGAGACACCAGAAAGGCTTCCCTGGTGGGCACAGCCCTCTCCCTCCTTTCCAGATTCTCCACCAGCAGTTTATTAGGTTGGAACTTGCGGGTGCTCGTGTTTCTCACTCTAGCTGTCGACTCTGCAATGCAGAAAAGAGCGGAAGCCGCACTGCTGTTCAGAGAAATCTCTGAGAAGCCCCCTGAGGCGGCGGCGAACAGATGACACAGATGGTGTGTGCCTGCAGCGGGCGAGGCTGCCGCCCGAGGCCCAGAGTCTCCAGGGCAGCGCTGCCCAACGGAAATAGAATGCAAGTTCGAACGTCCCAACATCACATTAAAAAAGCAAAAAGAAAGAGATACGATTAATTTTAATACTATGTATTTTATTTAATTTAACCCAATGTACCCAGACTATTATCATTTCAACATAGCAATATAAAAATTAGTAGTGAAATATTTTACACTGTTTTGTCATATTAGGCCTTTGAAATTCACTGTATATTTTACACTCACAGCACATTCCAATTTGCTCACATTTTCACCAGAAATATCTTTTTGGTATTTAGGTTTCATAAAATTCACTGTTGAAAAAGTTGACTCACACATCCAAGCTGTTCCAAACATATTAAAAGTTTTCTAATAACTAAATCAAGGATTGTTTTTCACACTTACATTAATTATAATGAAATAAATTTAAAAGCCCACTCCCCAGTTGCACTAGCCATCTTTCAAGTGCTCAATAGCCACATGTGGCCAGTGGCTACTGCATTGGACAGCACAGCTCCAGACACTACAACTCTGGGCATAGATGAGGGCCCCTTGGTGGAGATGGCAAAGTATTGCCAGAGAAACACATTCAAGCTAGGGGAAGTGCCTGTGAAGTTACACCCCACTGCCGCCCCTCATTCTCCTCACACAGCTTCTCCAGCTGACGGTTAGCAAAGCCACATTACTCTGATGAGCACTTCCGCAGCTTGTACAATCAACGAGCCAGTCCTCATGGCACCTGTCTAAGAAGGCTGCCCTTACTTAGTTCAGGTGCAATTGTCCAGGCTGGTGTGTGGGTATCAAGTGTGTGAATGCAACCAGGGACATGTGCAGCTGTACCCATGCGTGTGCACGCACAGGGATGCTAATGGTCTGCATCATTTGGGGCAATCCAATAGAGCTCTCCTGGGACTTAGACAGAGGTGGAGAAAGGAGAAAAATAACATTTACTGAGGACATATTCTAAATCAGTGGCTTTATCTTTGTTTTCTTATTTAATTTTCACACCAGCCCCATAAAATAGGGCATCTTAGCTGACAGAACTAACAGTTAAATAAAGTAAGTAAATGCTGGAGTATACAGGGCTAGTTAGTAAGGGAGCTGCATTTGAACTCAGGGTGACTCAAAAGTCAAATGCCTCCACCATACTGCTCTACTGTTGTAGTCACTGCATGTTCTTATAACCCCTCCCCCATGGCCTCTCAGGTGCAGGACCTACCGGGGAGCAAAATAAAATCCAGGGGTCACCTTCTACCCCAATAGCTCAGAACAACATTTTTAGGGAAATTGGGGTCAGTTGTTAATTTTCACCTTCCTTCAGTAACTCTAATACAACTGATTCAAGAAGCTGAGGGCTGGTTGGTTTTTACTCTTTCTCAGTTCTCTCACCCACTGTCCTTGCTGCCTCTGTCCCAGGGACCAGCAGAATGCAGCAGAAATTCCAGGGATCAGATGGACTGAACTGAAATACCTGGCTGCCAGCAATGGAGGCTCTCATAATTAAAAACAGAGGTTTCAGTCCCGGCTGGTGTGGCTCAGTTGGTTGGAACCATGGCTCACTGACCTGTAACCAAAAGGTTGAAAGTTTGATTCCTGGTAGGGGCACATACCTAGGTTGCAGGTTAGATCCCTGGTCCAGGGGGTTGGATCCCTGGTCCAGGCCCAGATCCCCAGTCTGGGCGTGCGTGGGAGGCAAGAACTGATGTTTCTCTCCCTTCTTCTTTCCTTTCCTCTCTAGCTAAAATGAAAAGAAAATGTTCTTGAGTGAGGATTAAAAACAAAAACTAAAAACCAAAAAACCCCAGAGGTTTCAGATTTCCTAGGTCCCTTTCTGGGTTCTAACCTCAACAACCTCTTAGGTTACTGCGAGGCTGCTCAGGAATTTCTCATATGGTGGAACAATCTGTGAACTATGTCAGAGTTGAGGGAGATTTGACTCTGCCCACCTTCTGCCTACCTCTGCTGGACCGAACCTTCCTGAAGTCATTCCATCCACCCTCCACCTACCCTCCCCTTCCATTTCAGGTATGGTGTCCCCTAAGCTGAGAGAAGTTTGGACCCAAGTTACTCTGGCAGCATTTCAGCACTCCCCATGATGATCCCTGATACATTTTCGTTTCTCGATTTCCTTTGCTATGCTGGGTCCCGGATTCAAGGGATGAGAAGCCCGCAAGGCAATGACTGTTAGCTTATTTTGAATCAGGGACCCCTCTGAGAATATCTGGTACAAGCTATGAACAAAAACATTTATACATTGTCCACTATCATCCTGAAGCCATCAAAGATTCCACAGAATGCAGGAAAAGAACCTCTGCTGTGAGAAGCCTCAGGTAGCAGGAGAAAAGCTGAGGACTTAAGGTGCCTGTGCTCCCCAGAGTGCATTGGAGGCAAGGAGAAAAGGCTGGGAAGGACTATGGTGTGAAGTAGATAACAGCACAGGTAAGAACAGATGGTAGGATGGACCCTGTAAGAAAACACTGTTACCTCCACCTTCTCCCTTCTCTGTCCCCCTTTCCCCACCAGCATCCATCTTTCAGAGAGGCAGGCAACTATGGGTGGGACTTTTGCTCTAAGAAGTGAATGTGGCCCTGGCTGCTGTGGTTCAGTTGGTGGGAGCATCATCCAGTAACTGAAAGGTGCAGGTTGATTCCCAGTCAGGGTACATACCTAGGTTGAGGGTTTGGTCCCCAGTTGGGGCGTGTACAATCCCCAGTCCTAGCAACAAATCAGTGCTTCTCTCTCACATCAGTGTTTCTCTCTCGCCCTTCCTTTCTCTAAAAAAGCAAGGGAAAAAATGTCCACAGGTGAGGATTTTAAAAAAAGAAGTGACTGTGGTGGTGATTCAGGCTGGAGAGCACTGAGATCAGGGACTGCTGAGTCCTAGTCCTCCAGACTCCTCTGTAAGGGGAATTAAGTAGGAAGACAGCTAGATGGTGGCGGCTGGAAAGGCTGAAGAGAGTGTCTCTCTCCTAGGACACCTGCCACAGTTCATCAATCTGGTCTAAAGACTGAAGAATAGCACCAGCATAATTTCTGATATTATGGCCCATGCTCCCAGTTGCCAGTTTCTGGTGAAGAGACTTGAGTAAATGGGGAGAAAAGGGTGACGCCTATAACGAGCAAAGGGAGTGTTCTGTTTGCCAAAAACTCGGATGGCTGAATATCTCTCGAACAGATTGTTTATATGTTGTCCAGGAAGGGAACTCTGATCAGTCAGGGCTCTGGAACCAGGCTACTGTGTTTGAGAACCCCTAACTGCCCAGCCCTCTAGCTAAAGTCTACTTTCACAGTTTGGCTTGTTGAGTGGAAACAACCGCCCATGGAACTCTCTAGGCCACACAGACTTTCTTAACTAGTTCCACCTACTGCCTCCTGCGCTCTGTTCAAAAAACCCTTCAAGGAAAGAGAATGGACACTTTGAAACTGGAGGTGAAAATTTAAAAATTATAATTCACCCAATGCCAGCCTTTCACAGTGCAATCTTTCAATCCTGATTTGGGTTCTTAGAGGGGGATTTAGATGACAAATCCCAAATACACAGAGACTGAAAGTTTGGAGTCATCTCACCTCAAGTTACCCCTTCTACTGCTCAACCTCCCTACGCAACTAATTATTTGAAGTTAACCTTCCTTCAGAAAATTTCCAGGAAAACTAATTATACCTGCTTTACACTACTCCGATTAAGAAATTCCTCCTGTGGTTTAATTTTTAATTTTTAATCCCTCTTTTTGGACCTCCATTTCATTTCCTCTTTTCTTCCTATCACCTCCCATTGGAAATGGAAGATGATGGGCCCATAAAGTAGGTTTGTACTTTTTATAGCAACAGTGGACATTCTTCCTTGGGTCTGAACTAGTCTTACTTTTTTAAAGATAAAAACAGCTAAAGCAATTAAGGCACTCGAGAACCTAGGAATAATTTAAGAAATATGTAAATTCTATATGACAAAAACTTCAAGGCACTGACAATGGGACACCAATGACTTAAACGTGTATATAGGAATATTCTGTGCAGTAATTCTCCCTTAGGTAATCTAAATTTTTTTTGTGTTCTAATCAAAATAGCATTAACAGTACATTGAAAAGTAAATTGTGCTATATTCCCACAATATACTACTACAGAGTAATGAGAATGAATGAGCTGAAACTACATATGATATGGCTGAATCTCACACAAATAATGTTGCACAAAAGAAGCCAGACACAAAGAGTACATACTATGTGATTCTCTTCATATACAAAAACAAAAACAGGAAGAACTGGTTTCTGCTATTAGGGGTCAGTAGAGTGGCTTTCCTTAAGGGGAATAGTAGTAACTGGGAAGGGACACAAGGGTGACTTCAGGCATGCTGTAATGTTCTGTTTCTTAATCTGGACATTGGATACACAAATGTATTCCATTTTTGAAAATTCATCAAGGTGTACAGTTTTCATTTGTGAACTTTTCTATATGTATACTGTGTATCAATTTTTAAATTATGGTAAACAATATATAATGTACATCAATTTTTAAAAACAGTAGGAAACAATGGAACCTCAGTTCTTGAACTTAATTCATTCCACAAAACTGTTCAAGAAGCTATTTGTTCAAAAACCGAATCTCCTTTGTTGCCTGAAAGACACGTGACTGATTATACAGGTATCATCATGAAAGGGTTTTCGGGTAGAGAATCGATACTTTTTTTTGTGAACAACTTGGTCAAGAACAGAATTAGTGGACAACCAAATTGTTCAAGAACTCAGATGTTGGAGAACCAAGGTTTGACTGTATTAGAATATGAATGAAGAGATCAGCGAAGATGAAAAACTCCAAGACAGACCAAAATACATATGGCTGTTTGAGTTTTATAAAGGTAGCATTCAAAAGCAAGGGAGGAAGTATGGGTTATTCAATAAGCAGGGTCAAGTAAAACAAACGAAATAAAGTTAGATTTTTTTTCTCCCACCAAAATAAATTCCAGGTGAATTCAATATTAAGATATATAAAAAGACACTATGAAAGTATTTATGAAAAAATAGAATAATTTAAAAATAATCTTAGGTAATAGGAAGCTTTTCTAAATATGATATGAAACCCAGAAGTTATCAAAGAAAATGATGAGAAATTCAACTACATAAAAATAAAAATATTTGCATAGCAAAAAGTCACTGTAAACAAAGTAAAAACACATAGAACAAACTGGGAAAAGAAAAATATATAACTTACACAAAGATAAAATATTAACATATGAACAAATTATATGAACAGAATTTACAGAAAAATAAAACACAATAGCCACTTAAACATATTAAAAGATGCTCAACCTTATAATAAGAGAAATTAAAATTATAGTGAAATACCATTTATACTATCAGACAGTCAAAAATCAAAAGTTTGATAACACAATGTGTAAGCATGTTGATGGGAGAGAAAATTAGTAAAAATTCCATGGAAGGCAATTTGGCCATACCATCTATACTTACCAAAATCCTTTAACACACTGCTGGTGGATTGAAATGAGAAACATCTTCATGGGAGGAGAGAATTTGCAAAATCCATATATCCAGATTAAAAAACAAAACAAAACACCACACATAATGCTCTGACCTAGCATTTACAGTTCTAAATATTTATTATACGGATATGCAAAAGCCAAATGAAATATACTTGGGTATCAATATAATGTAACATGTGGTTAAATATATCAGTATATCCCTCAGGCTTCCTATGAAACTTACTATAAGGCAGAGATATCTGTACTGCTGTGGAAAGACATCTAAACTATATAAAAAGGAAACTGTAAAATAGTTTATTATCGACTAGGTAAAAACATATATGTATATTTACTATAGAATATCTTGGGAAAAGTCACAAAAATTTGATAATATTGGGAGCTTCCGAGGGAAATAAGACATTCACTGTAATAACCTTCTTCCTTTTGAATTTTGTAGAATGTGCATGTGTTACTTCTTCAAAACATATATATTTTAAATCAATACAAAACGAAAAACTGACTACCTCTCTCTGCCTAGCTGACTAAAGATACAATCTTGCGTTCATTCAACGTTCACTGAGTATCACGCGCCAAAAATTGTGATAGAAGCTGGTAAGAGCGCCCCACCCCTGGTCCCACGCTGAGCCCTCAGTGCTGGGCGGGGCAAGGGGCCTGGGAAAGGCAGCGGGCCCGCTTGCTCGCGGTGCTACCCGCTGCGCAGAGGCCGAGACCTGGCCCAACCGTCCCTAACGTTCCAGGACAAACGGCGGCTGCGATGCACTCTTCCAAAGCAAACCGCCACTTTCAGAAGACCACCCGCTTTCTCGTCCCCCACAGAAACAGACCCCTGCGCCTGTCGCCGGACCCGTTTCCCTCAATCCCCAGGGAAGGGCAGGCCCGCAGCTCCCTTACCACTCAGAACTCGGGTCCTTCATCTTTCCTGTGGTCACCGCCCTCATCATGTTCCTTCACAGAGGGCCCTTGGCTCTCTGCTGCGCAACAACTTCCCTTTGACATTCTCTTCATCTCTAAGAAGCTTATTTTTATGTACAAACCCCCGCACCCCGCCCCCCAAAAAAGTTTTCATGTCACCTGATCCCCTGTCGTGGTATGGGGACCGATCGAGGCAAAAGATAGCAGAGCAAACAAGTAACGGAGCACGGCCCATCATACTTTTTTCCCAACGGTCACTGGGTTGTGGGGTGACACTGGCTTTGTACAAATTTTGACACTCGTGAGTGGTTCAAGCCCCTATCTCGCACCTTGATCCCAGCCACCGCAGTGCAGGTTTTTCACCCAAGGCTTAAGAGATGGAAGCCTCTACGGTAATTAGCCCGGAGGCGGGCAGGGAGTACTCCGTGAAATCTCGAATTGGCTGTTTAATTCTCAGCAGGTGCACTCTGCAATTAACACTGTCTGCTCTTCCCTGGGCCCCATTGGCTGTTACGGTGGACCGGCCTAGAATTCCATCCGGGTAATTGGGTATCTGCACTCGGCCGCCCGTCGCTCAGGGGCAGCCCGCTGAGGGATTGGTTGTGGCTGGGAAATACTATTGGTGCAGCTGCGAGCCGGACGTTGATTGGTGCGGGAGGGCTGCGGAGGTGGGGAAGAGGCGGCTGAAGCGAAGTCGGCGGGGCTGCGAGCCAGCGTGCGAGTGGGAGGAGGCGACGGCAGCTGGGCTGAGGTGCGAGGAGGAGCGCGCGACGGCCGACTCGAAGAGCGGTAAGGGCGGGTAGCGGGAGCGGAGGTTGGGGTTGTGGAACAGCCCGGTTGGGGGCGTCCTGGCGCAGAGGAGCCGAAAATGTGTGTGGGGCTGAGGAAGGGAGGTCTCCCAGGGCCCTGGGCGAGGGGCGGCCGTGCGAGCCCCGGGTGGTGAGGCGCTGCTGCGGACAACTTTATCTTCACTAATCGGATCCAGAGAAGATGCTCTGGGCCCAGGGGTGAGCCACAGCGACCCGGTACGAGAGGGTTTGCCAGTTCGGACTCTTCCATGGATTGGGCCTGTTTGAGAACCGCCGTCATTTTATCAGCTTGCTTTTTATTTTGCCCATCTTTTTCTTGGATTATCTCAAATAGAATGACTGTAGTCAGAATAATAAATGGGAGTGGGGGGTGGAGTATTTGTTTCACCAGTTTCCCTCCTGACTCCTTAATGCAGATGTCATCGTGGGTTTTGGCAGAAGACTCCCGTGCCAAAGTTACATTTTTATAGGCTCTTTTCTCAGCTTGAGAGAAATGGACTGAGGCTTTTTCACTCACTGATTCAACAATAAATGTAGCGAGGATGAGGACGTTGAATGAGGTACTTCAACAAGCCTATTGACACGTTTTAGGTACTTTGTGGGTTCTGGTTATTAGGAGATATACTGGAATGAGAGTACTGGAACTCACATTATGATTTGACTTTAACTATGTTTCTGAAATGATAATATGGAAGTAAGCCTTATCATATCAGATCGTTGTTCACGGCTGTTTAATACAAATGTCAGGAAACGTTTTGAAGTTTCTGCCTATACTAAAAACCATCATCTAGCTACAGTTCTCACCTTGAAATGAACCACATGTCTCCTCTTTAACCCAGCTTCCCCTAGGAGCTATGGTCTTAAATTCTGACCTGCTCTTCGCATTCAGTATTATACAATTATTCCCATTTCCATCATATTTTTTCCCATTTTTGTTTCTTTTTCCTGAAAAGAAACAACATTGTGAAAGAATATGTCAGTTGTAAGAAAAGGAAAACTACTTGATCAATCAAATAGATATTATGTAAGGCATCAGCTGATTAACAAAAACTTCACTTGTAATATCTGAAGAAGAGTTAGTAAAATTTAGCTTTTGGTTCAAATAGAAGTCACCCAATAAGTGTATTCTTGTCACAGGTATTCATCTTTCTAACACCCCCCCCACCACCAAATCATCAATATTCTCTGTCTCAAATGCCACCATCTACTAGGTGCTCAAATTGGAAACTTGGTAGCCAGCTTCTTGGCTCAACCTGTAACGTTTCCATAATCAATTGCTAGGTCTTATGTAGTCTACCTATTAAAACTTGCTAATCGATCTACTTTTCTCCACCTTTATCACTGACACCTGGACTGGCTCCTGAATTAGTCTCCCTACCCTCACGGAGGCTGTCTTGAATTCCTTTCCACTACAGACACAGCCCTTAATCAAAACTTTCAAGCAATGCGTGTTTTCTGGAGTAGTATTTGGAGTACTATGGAAGCCCGGAACAATGAGACCTAATGTAGTATAAGGGTCAGGACTGACGATTTGGTTGCAAAGCCAGAGGAATATCAGTTATCATTTTGCCTTGATCCTGAGAGTTTCTGAACTGGGAAAAAACAATACTGTTAGTTCTGTGAGTCTCCTCAAAGAGGTACCATTGGTGACGGGTCTTCAAACCACATTGTACACCACATTGTGTGGAAATCACTAATTACCTGTGTATCCTTAGGGAAATTTCTTTGTCTCCCTGGGCTTCAGTTTCCCCAGTTGTACCATTATTAGTAGAATCAGATTATCTCTGTGGTCTCTTTCCGTTCTGAAATTCTGTAGTTTCTTTGTCCCATAAACATGAATTATGGCCAGAAAGGTGATATTAAAGGCAGACAACACTAGAGTCTGGATGAGTTACTGCTCTTGTTTGCAAGGCTAGACTTCTTTCAGTTTCCCTAAACTTTTGATGCCTACAGACTATTGTCTGTCATGATAGGACTTTCTTTGCTTGATAGAAAGCTTAATAAAGGCAGCTACCAAGTCTCTCTGAGCTGTTATATCTCCAGGGCCAAGCACACAGTGAATACTGTATATTTATTGGTTTGAATGCACAAGATAAATAATTTGTATTTTAATGGGGTGGTTTTCACCTGTGTATCATCTAGGGAATAAACCTTTTTAAGTTCTAGTTCCTCCCAGCTGTTGCATTAACCAATAATTGTTCTACTAATCAAAATTTTATAGCCTTTGCATTACATATAATTAGTTGTTTTGGTGTTGACCTTTCCTACTAGGCTGAGTATTTCAGGATAGGAGTTCTTGTGTCCTCAGCATCTCCAGCCCACAACAGAGAGCTAACACTGTTTAACTGGAGCATGTTAATAGTGAAGACAAGCTTTGCACTTTAGGGACCACATGAGAAAATATATGAAATAACCAATATGAAAGATAAAAGAACTGAACTCTTTTCTAGAGACCCAGAATAAGCCATCTCTTAATATAGAAAACTGGCAGTTCTTGTGACTCAAGAGTTATTTAAGCAAAAAGGGGCTTTACAAAACTGAGCTTGTTTCCTTTCATTTGGTATTGGGTTGGCCACAAAGTTTGTTTAGTTTTTCTCTGTATGATGGCTCTAGTAGTGCTTAGTTGTTTTTATCTTCATTCGAAACAATTTTGTTAGATTGTATTGTGACAGCTCTCATATCAGTGGGCATTTAAAAAAACTAATCAAAATTGGTGAATATTTGTGCAGCCATTTAAATATTGAAGATAGAAGGAAAATGCAACATTTTCCATGTATTATGCTTTATTATTTCAAGAAATGTAAAAATGCAACTGAAATGCAAAAAAGGGTTTATGCACTGTATGGAGAAGCTGCTGTGACTGATTGAACGTGTCAAAAGTGGATTCAGAAGTTTCTTGGTACTCTTGACATTTTGGCCAAATAATTCTTTGCTGTTGGGCTGTCTTATGCATTGGAAGAGGTTTAGCAGCACCCCTGGCCTCTAAGCACTAGAAGGCTATAGTGGGAGATAGCCAACATACTTCAAATATCCAAGTTAATAAAGTTGTTGTGAAAATGAAAAATGTGCCTCTTATTTTATGGAAAAAAAACATAGACTTTTTGGCCAGCCCCATATATAAAAAGATGTTTACATAATACCACCCAAACTTTCACAGAAAGTGTTGAAAGGTTTTATTTGCAGCTTAGTTGGGGGAGGGGAGGAGAGAGAGTACAGTAACTGATTTTTATCCAGTTAGGGTAGGGAAGGAACCTCATATCTCAAACAAACAACCCTACATTAAAACTCAACCTTTTTCTTCCTACCCACTAAAAGGTGGCTGGGAGAGGTGGGTAGAGCAGCCACATTTTCTCCAGTAGGTTTATGTTCAGTCTCTAACAGTGATGTATATTGTATCAACTTGTTGAGTAACTAATTGCCTAGAATAACAAGACACTTGAAAAGAGTCCCTCACCAAGGTGATAAAATGAGGTTTTGTTTTTATCTTTAGGCCATGAGTTGGGCAAGAGAGTGGATTAAATTTGTTTAAAACTATTGACTAGAAAAAATAGGTTTGGGAAACTTCTGGTAGTTCTCTGATGTCCTTTATTCATTTCTGCTGGTCAGTAAAGCTCTCTGAGGCCAGATGCAAAACTGGGTCCTCTGACTGACAGTAGTAAGAAATTCACCTGTAGTTCCTTATGTAAGTTTTATGTGTTCCTCAGAATGAGATTTTTGTGCTTGGTCATTTCCTTTTTCTCATCATTCTTCCTGGGAGACTTTCAGGAAAAGCACATATAGAACCAAAGTTTTATTCTTATGTAGGTCCTTTATTAATAAATATGTTTTTAGGCTTACTAGGATAGTCCTTTTTTTTTCTTGGATATCATAATTATGTGTGTTGAAGTTTTGTACCTAGAGGCACATTGTAGCATCAGTTACATTTTCTAGCTCATTTTAAAGCAAATCTTGTTAAAAGCCACATTGTGTTTTGTTCTACTAGATTGTAATATCTGGAAATAGACACTGTAGGGGGTTTTGTTTGTTTGTTTTACCACCTACAGTGTTTTCTAACAGTATTTATTCATTTTTAATTAAGTGTGTTGACCAAAATAAAAAATAAACATACCAGAACTGTTTCACGGATAGTTAAAAGGAGGGGTGGGGATGCTTCCAGAGTCTCTTTAAAAGGTTGTTACTATGCAAATAACCCAGACTCTGGATAAGAAGTCAGGTGAGCTCTTTAATCATGCATACTCTTCTGCAAGACTGGGATTAATATTTCCTATTTTACAGGATTATATGAAGATTGAACAAAGTAATGTATGTGAAATGCCTGGTAGCATAGTATCTACTTAATACATATGTCTTTTCATCTTTGTGTCCTTAAGTGCCACAGTAGCATCTAGCACATCTGCTTAATAAATGTGGCTGAACTGCATTGGTGAAGCCAGTGGTTTAGAGACAACATACAAACCATTGAGCTAAGAAGAAACTCCCCTGACATTAGCTAAGGGAAACCGCAGAGACTGCAAAAGAAGTGGTAGCAGCAGAGCTGAGACCTAAAGAAGGAATAGGATTTTGCCAGGGGTTCCAGGTGGGCTGAGGAGTAAGACTAGAAAGACAGAAGTGATACCTGTTAGAGCAAGGATACATAAGATAGCACATCATATTCCTCTAGTGGAGATGGGTTTAGACTATAATGGTAGGCAGAGATCCAATTACTAAGAACTTTTATGCCACTAATGAGTTTACATGCAGGCAACAAAGTTGCTAAGAAGAGGAAGTTTTCATTCAACAAATGATTTTTAAAAATTTTATTTGTTGATTGATTTGAAAGAGAGAGAGACATCAACATCAATTTGTCATTCCACTTATTTATGCACTCATTGGTTGATCCTTGCATGTGCCCTGAACAGGGATTGGACCCCCAACCTTGGTGTATTGGATGACACTCAAACCAACTGAGCTACCTGGTCAGGGCTCAACAAATGGTCATTGAGTGACTACTGATTGCTAAGCACTAAGGAAGGAAAAAACACATTCCTGCTCTTGTGGAGTTTACGTTCTAATGGGGAGATAACCAAAATGAAGACCTTGTAGGTCATTATAATGACTTTGGCTTCTAATCATAGGGACATGGGAAGCTACTGGAAGGTTTTGAGCAGGTGAATGATGTTATTTGATATTCATTTTTTGGTGTTGTATTGAAAATAAACTGAATGGGAGACTCCTGATCAAGCTGGCAGTATAGCTAAACACAAACAACCACATCACAATTACAACTAAAATATAGAACAACCATCACTCAGAACTGTCAGAAATCGAGTTGAATGGAAATCTGGCAACTACTAAATTAAAGAAACCACATCCATCCAGACTGGTGGGAGGGACAGAGATGTGGTGTGGTGGATAAAAATTCACAAGGGATATCTCAGGAGCAAGGGGTCCCAACCCACACCAGGCACCCCAGCCCAGGGTTCCAGTACCAGGAAGCTAAGTCCCCATAACTTCTGGTTGCAAAAACCAGTGGGAATTGAGTCAGTGGAAGAAAGTTCTGGAGTCCCAAGCAGTTCCCCTTAAAATTGCTATTTTAATGTTCATGGTTTTGGTCTTTTTCTTTTTCTTAAGTAAGTCCCTTTAACATTTCATATAATAGTGGCTTGGTGATGATGAACTCCTTTATCTTTACCTTGTCTAGGAAGTACTTTATCTGCCCTTCAATTCTAAGTGATAGCTTTTCTGGGTAGAGCAGTCTTGGTTGTAGGTTCTTGCTTTTCATGACTTGGACTACTTCTTGCCAGTTCCTTCTAGCCTGCAAAGTTTCTTTTGGGAAATCAGCTGACAGTCTCATGGCAACTCCCCTGTAGGTAACTAACTACTTTTCTCTTGCTGCTTTAAAGATTGTCTATCTTTAAGCTTTGGCATTTTAATTATGATGTGTCTTGGAGTGGGCTTCTTTGGATCCATCTTGTTTGGGACTCTCTTTTCTTCCTGGACTTGCATGTCTATTTCCTTCACCAAATTAGGGAAGTTTTCTTTCATTTTATCAAATGAGTTTTCAATTTCTTGCTGTTCTTCGTCTCCTGGCACCCCATTGATGAGAATGTTGAAATGTTTGAAGTTGTCCCAGAGTAATGTTTGCTTACATTATCCTCATTTTGGGGGATAATTTTTCCCTAGTGCTGTTCTGATTGAGTATCTTTTTTCTTCCTTATATTCCAAACCATTAATTTGACTCTTGGCTTTATCACTCCACTGTTGGTTCCCGTAAATTTTTCTTTACTTCACTTAGTGTAACCTTCATTTCTGCATGGGTCTTTTTTATGTTGTTGAAGTAGCCAGTGAGTTCCTTGAGCATCCTTATAGCCAATGTTTTGAAGTCTGCATCTGATAGATTGTTTATCTCCATTTTGTTTAGCTCTTTTCTGGAATTTTGTTCTTTTCTTTCATCTGGGCCATATTTCTTTGTCTCCTCTTTTTGGCAGCCTCCCTGTGTTTGTTTCTGTGTATTAGGTAGAGCTGCTTTGACTCCCTATCATAGTAGTATGACCTACTGTTGAAAAGCACACTGGTAAGTTGAGTGGGGCGGAGCTTTGGGTAATTGCCAGGGTGGGGCAACCCATGTGGCAATACTGAGGCTCTGTGCAGGGGAGGGCTCAGAGTGGAGACAATGCCCCTGCCTGGCCACTAGCATTTTGTTTGGGAGGAAGCTGTCTCCCGGCACTAGCCCTGATGCCAGACATTTCCATTTCTCCCCTTATGATGCTGGTGCTCATCCAGCTGTTGCCCTAGTGCTGAACCCCAGAGGAAGTGAGTCTGCTGAAGTCCTAAGTTTGTTACATGCCCTTTGGGAAGAGACTCCTGAGAATCCCACAGTTTCTTCCACTGTCCCAACCCCCACTGGATTTTACAGCCAGAGTCACGGGGACTTATCTTCCTGGTGCTGGAACCCTGGGCTGAGTGGTCTGGTGTGGGGCTGGGATCCCTTGTTCCTGAGGTATCCCTCCCAATTTTTATCCACTACATGTTGTTGAGGGACTGCCCATCCCACATCTCTCCATGCCTCTCAGCACATGTCTGCGCCTCTATGTCTCCACTCCTCCTACCCATCTAGATGACTATGGCTTAATTCCTTGATTGTCAGACTTCCTTCCATACAGCTCAATTTTCTGACGATTCTGGGTAATATTTTTTTTGTAGCCTAGTTGTATTTTTCCTGTGGTTGTGTGAGGAGGTGAGCCATGTTTTACCTAATGACTCCATCTTGATAGAAGTGACCCTATGACTTCTTAATGGCCATTGTAAGAAGGCCAGTAAGAAGACCATTACAATGGTCTAAATGAGATTTGATAAGCTTCTGAATTAGTCCAAGTGCAGTGTTTTGGTATCATTAGCAGGTAAGTAATAATTGAAGCTGTAGGTGTATATGAAATCACCCAAAGAGAGTAGAACGACAATAGCAATGGATAGAGGCCACAGGAAGACAAGCCCCAGAACTCAGAAAGCCCCTCCAGCATAATAGGAGAAACCTATTTCAAAGAAAAAAAGGAACAAAGGTAAAATTAGATAAGGCTTATACATGCCATCTAGGTTGATTATCTGGGAAGTTGTAGTTTTGGTGGAACAGGGCAGAACCCCCCTTACACTATTCGTTGAGTAGCAAATAGAAATCAGGAGTATAGATAGTAAATAAAGACAGTACTTCCAAGAAGGATAAGTAGAAGTAGCAAAGCCCAAAACTAAGCCTGGAAAGCCATTCCTAGCAGAGACAACAGGTTTAGGAAAGGCCTGAAGGCATATAGAAGGGCTCATATAAGAATTTTAAATAGTTTCATATAAAAATCTAAATAGATATTTCAAAATATTCATTTAATAATTTTTCATTTCTTTGTCTTTGAAAACTGTGATCAATGTGTAGTTTTACTTGGGTGTGGGGGGATGAAGTATGCCTCTATTTAGCTGTATGTGTATGTGCCCCTTAGCTAACTTAAAAAAAAAAAAAAAACAACTCTGAGACCTTTTACATGATATATAGATTTTGAGACTGCTTAAACTCTTAAAATGGAAAAGTAGGCAGTAGTATTCTCTTTAATAATAATAATAATTAATAATAATAGAATGTGTTCCCTTGTCTCTCTGCCAGTCATAAAGGATTTGGATGAAAGTTCCTTATTTTCCCTTATTTGCTTATTTCAGGATGTAAGTCAGAGTACAGCAGAAAATGTCCACTGAACGGACTTCTTGGACAAATTTGTCCACTATTCAGAAAATAGCACTGGGCCTCGGGATCCCAGCAGGTGCAACAGTTGCCTATATCCTATACCGCAGATACAGGGAAAGCAGAGGTATGTGAATCCCATAGCTGCACACATGGAAATGTTCAGACTGTGTTCCAGATTTGCTGAATTGAAATGAAAACTGTCCTTGTCAGACCAGGGATCATTTGTTGGGATGTAATTGGCTTTCTCTGAGGGGTCTTTGATGGGAACTATATAGTTTCTTCTTTTCTATATTCTTAATGTGAAGCTATCATCATTTATATGAAACTATCATTTCTATGAAATGAAGAATTCATTTTATAATTCTATTGATCTGTTCCCTTCAGCAACATTCACACTGCAATGTGTTCTTTTTCTTTTTTACAACATCCATAATATTCTCACCTTTTTTAATATGTCCCTTCTATTTAGTTGTTAGGAGAAGGCTAACTGTGGGGTTTGATTTTCCCCAGAGGCTAAACATAGAGAAGAGGACCTAGAGGAATGATTTATGTACAAACAGGAGAAGCTCTGAGCCTAATGGACTCCTCAGGCAATTTCTAGCCTTTCATTCTTCTCCAAGAGAAATCGTTTGCCTAAAATCCAATACTTGGTTGCAGAGCCAAATGAGTTCCCCACTTTAACATCTGAAACAGTGTCCCAGAGAGAATGCTTATCTTTTGGTCTTTGGGGACCTTTTAATTCCCACTCAGGTGCTATTTCTCCTTGTCATTGTGGTTAAGATCCTCAGTTTATCTTTTAGATCAACATGTCTGTGACAGCTAGATTCAGGGGAGGGCTGGTATTAGTTTTAGGTGTTATCTAAGTTTGATCTGATGAGCCATGATCTGTGCAGAAGAACGTCTGACATTTGTTGGGGAGGATGACATCGAGATAGAAATGCGAGTGCCCCAGGAGGCTGTAAAGCTCATCATTGGCCGTCAAGGAGCCAATATTAAACAGGTAAGTGTGTGAGCCAGCAATCTGCTTTCCTGGAAATTGATTCTACTTTTCCTTCTCTGCCCCTATCCCATAAAACCCACCCACACTATGTATATTTTAAAAAGAAAAAATACAGGAACCTTTTAACTAATATGCTGTTTACCTTCTAGAAATAAGTACTTCTGCTCCCTAGAGAATGGATGACTTAGCTTGAAATGGGGATTTTTAATTGGATGCATCTCAGCTTGGTATAGCTTGAACCATTCTTTTCTACTATGGAATTAACAAATTCTCATTAATTGACATTAAATACTGAATTGCTGCCTGATTCTTCTCACTGTCTTTCATTGTTCAGGTGGGGTGTCAAGAAAGCAAAATACTTGATTCTCTAATCCAAATAATATTAGGAAGAAAGAGGGTTCTAAACACAAAGAGAAACTATTTTAAATTAACTACTATTGGGGGTTGCCTTTGTCACTAATTTCCTTCCATAAGTACCTATGAGGACTGCTTATAACATCCTGGTTTTGCTGATAATTGTGTCCAAATCCATCTACCTCCACAGTTAGGTTTAGGGTGTCCTTAGCTAAAGGGGAGCTCTTCCAGAGCATATTGCTATGTATCCTTTTCTCTGCAGCTGCGGAAACAGACAGGTGCTCGGATTGATGTGGACACGGAGGATGTAGGCGATGAGCGGGTGCTGCTTATCAGTGGTTTTCCTGTTCAGGTGTGCAAAGCCAAAGCAGCAATCCATCAGATCCTGACAGAGAATGCTCCAGTGTCTGAGCAGCTCTCAGTTCCCCAGAGATCTGTGGGCAGAATCATAGGTACCACTGGACAGCTTCCTCTACTGTTTCTTTTTTTTTCTTTACCTTTCCCTTTCTTTCACACCTTCACAGGGGTTTTTCCTGGCCTACTCCCCCTTCACCTTGCTGAGGGGAAAAAAAAAGAACATGGAGACCAGAGTTTTATTTTTTTACAGAACTGTTGGTAAAGCAAAGTCCATTACTTTAAGAAGTTGTATGATCTGAACTTTACAAACAGTTTCCAAAAAGGTTCGGGTAAAGGTACTGACCTCATAATAGATGTTTAAAGGGACTCAGGATGTTCATGTTTTCCCAGATCTTTCAAGATAGTGCTCTAGAGAGGACCTGCCATACTTTCCTCTAGAGCATTCCTTATGCTGCTGTTAGAAGCAGAGAAAAGTCCTGTCCTTGGTCCAATGGTTCACACACCACACCTTGTAAGATCTTTTCTAATGAAGTGGATGTAAAGTATGCTGAGTGGCCAGAAAATGGAAATGATATAAAGAAGTTAACCTAGCTAATGTTAGAGTTTAAATAAAATGGATAGAGCAAGTAATCCAGAATTATTATTCTTATAGTAGGGATTTCAGTAGCTCCTGCTTTTGCATTCTGTTCAGTTTGAAAATGGGAACTGACTTTCTTCTCCTAGTGTATACAAAGTAGTGATTTCTCTAGCAGTTAAGGTTGGCTAGGACAGAAGGACAGGATTTTATGTATTGTTCAATGTAGGGAGAGGTGGCGAGACGATTCGCTCTATCTGCAAGGCCTCTGGAGCCAAAATTACCTGTGACAAAGAATCAGAGGGGACATTACTACTATCAAGACTTATTAAAATCTCAGGAACACAGAAGGAAGTGGCAGCAGCCAAGGCAAGTAGCTGATAGACTTAAATCATATCTAAGAGTGAAAAGAACCCTTTATTCCATCCTGGGTCAAAATATCTGGCCACATAGCCATCATCCCTTCTCTTATTTTCCACAGCATTTGATACTAGAGAAAGTTTCAGAAGATGAAGAACTTCGGAAGAGAATTACTCATTCTGCAGAAACCAGAGTCCCACGCAAGCAGCCAATCAGTGTAAGAAGAGAGGAAGTGAGAGAGTCAGGTGCAGCTGGAGAGCCAGCTCTATGGAAAAACTCTGGTATTAGCAAGGAGCAGGCTTCACCACTGGCAGTTCCTCCCTGCAAAGGAGGTGGTGACATGGTTGCCATGGGGCCAGAAGAAAGTTCCTGGGAGAAACCTAATGGTGACAGCTTTCAGAAGTCTGGAGCCCAGAGCAGTCCAGAGATGTCCATGTTTGAAAGTATGTAACAGAGGGAACCCATAGCTGTATGAAACATAGAAATACTGGCTTAGATAACTCAAAATTTGAAGCAATAAAAAATAATTGCTGTTTTCTTGACTAATAAGTTTCATCACAGATACACCTTTCTATTAATATTTTACTTGGATTAGTACTGAAGGTAATATTTTTCTACAAACAAGCTAATTATGGAAAACAATATGGGACTGTGCTAGTTCACAGGAAACTAGCCTGTGAGTAATGATATCAAATAATTAATTTACATTATATTCTTTCTCCTAACATACTTTTTAAATAGGAAAAAATACTCAGCCCAATTTTTTTTGCTTGTCTTGTTTTTAAAAGTCATCACTATTCAAGAAGAATTAAAAGGCTGCGAGCTTTCTTTTTCATGCCTAGGTATGGAATAGGCAGAGGAAACCAGGGCCCCTGAGAGGTTCACAGACTTGTCCAGAGTCACACAATGAGTCAGTGGAAGAATGAAATCTGGACAAGCCCACATCAGTCCATGTGTCTTTGCTGGTCCATGCTACAGCTAGCATATGGAGATTTACCGTCATTATAGTTGGTGACTGATTTGAATACATGGCAGATGACTAAGAATGTAAACTCTCTTATTACTCAATTACATAGGAAGGTACAGAACATAGCTTAGTACCGTTCTTCAGGATGTTGTTGTGTGATTCATCCAGTTGTTCCTCCAGCCACTTTTAAAATTGTAATAGCCACTTGGTATTTTTACCTCTCACTCCCTGATGCAGTCTCCCCATTCTGACCAGAGACGATTCTGATATCATTACCATATTAGATGGTGATAATTCTGCAGCTTAACTTGCTTATCCCTGTGTTTAGTCCCCAGTCCTGACTTCAGTTTCCATGCTGATGAGTTCCTGGAAGTCTACGTCTCTGCTTCTGAACATCCTAACCACTTCTGGATTCAAATCATTGGCTCTCGAAGCCTGCAATTGGATAAGCTTGTCAATGAGATGACCCAGCACTATGAGAATAGTCTGGTGAGGGAGAGGACTGAATTTGATGAAAAGGGGCTTATCCTTTTCACTGTTGTATATTCTGTTCCTTTCCTGTGGAGCAACAACTCATTCTTTCTTCCTGCTTACATTGCCTGTTTATTTTTTAGCTTACCCCCTTTTAAAAAAAGTTTCTTTTTAATTTTTAGGGAGGGGGGGAGGGAAGGAGAAAGAGAGGGAGAGAACCATCAATGTGTGGTTGCCTCTCATGAGCCCCCTCACTGGGGACCTGGCCAGCAACCCAGGCTTGTGCCCTGACTAGGAATCGAATGGGCAGCCTTTTGGTTTGCAGGCCCACACTCAATCCATTCAGCTACACCAGCTAGGGCTAGCCTACCCCTTTCTAACTACCCTCTCCTGACTCCTTATGTGTGTAGCCTGAAGACTTGACTGTGCATGTAGGAGACATTGTAGCAGCACCTTTATCTACAAATGGTTCCTGGTATCGAGCCCAGGTCCTTGGCACTTTGGAGAATGGGAACCTAGACCTCTACTTTGTTGACTTTGGAGATAATGGAGATTGCCCACTGAGGGACCTCAGGGCACTCAGGTCAGTGTGGAGGCCAGGTGAAATCAGGCTAGAGTGCCAACTTTTTTTTTAAGATAGGAAGGGAGGTAGGAAGAGAGGGCAAGAAACATCATTGTGAGAGAGAAACACCAATTGGTTGCCTTCCGTACATGCCCCAGAGGACTACACCTGCAACCTAGGCTTGTGCCCTGACCAAGAATCAAACTGGTGACCTTTTGGTTCGTGGGACAATGCCCAACCAACTGAACCACACTGGCCAGGGCAGGAGTGCCAGCTATTGACTCAACCCTGGCCACAGGGTATTGAGTTAGCTGTTAGTGCTCATCACCAGGGGGGTTTGGGAGAGCCTATTTATATAGAACAGATTATTTTCTCCCACTGCGTTAGTCAGTGCTGTCTGGAACAGGAATAGAAGGCCCTTCTGGCACTAGGAGTCTAATTTCAATTTCTTTCACTTTAGGAGTGACTTCCTAAGTCTTCCATTTCAAGCAATAGAGTGTAGTCTGGCACGGATCGCCCCCTCAGGTAAATTGGTCACAACACCTATTGACCTTGCCTCCAAATAGAATAACTTTAATACATGGGAGTTCTCACATTCCAAGGCTTTTTGAGTTCAAGGGGCTCAGGTGTTTTTTCCTCACCAGAACTAGGAATCAACAGCCAGAAACTTGCCTAGCTGTCAGACATAGGTGCCTTCTGGAATAGAAAGAGGTCGTTCTAATTCCCTCCAGGGTATAATCCCTCCCCTGTCAGCACTGTCCCCTTCTTAGGCTCTCCCTACAATCTTTTGCCAGGTGAACAATGGGAAGAGGAAGCTTTGGATGAGTTCGACAGGCTTACTCACTGTGCTGACTGGAAGCCTCTGGTGGCCAAGATCTCTAGCTATGTCCAGACTGGTACCTCAACTTGGCCCAAGATCTACTTATATGATACTAGCAATGGGAAGGTAAGATTGAGGTTCAACTCATTGCTTACTGGCTCTTTAGTATACTTATAGCCTCATTTACTTCTTTCCCAGAAACCCTATCTGATATTATTTCTACTTCATAAGATCCTGCTTACCATCCCACCAAAGGAATGTCTTTCAAGTATCAATCCTAGCTCTTCTGCCCTGTTTCCTCAGATATGCCCTTCCTTACAGAGAGAATGTCATTCCCTTTTCATTTTTCTCCTCAGAAACTTGATATTGGATTAGAATTAGTTCGTCAAGGTTATGCAGTTGAGCTTCCTGAAGAAATGGAAGAAAACAGAACTGTCCCAGACGTGTTACATGATGCGGTGAGTAAGCTATTGCAGTCATTGAGGGTGTCTCTTTGGGGCAAATCTCATGCCTTAAGAGACATGAGGACTTACAGTCATGCATGACATTTTGTAGAGTGCTCTTCTGGCTTATCAAAGGAGGCACTGAGTTTATTCAGCAACCAAACTCAACTGCCTAAACCAGATCTTGTGAGCAAAATGACAGAGTGGCCACTTCTTTCCCACCAGCCAACACTTTTTTTTTCTCATTTACATCCTCTCAGGACACAGAAACAGATGTTTCTCTCAGCAGCATGCTCAATGAAACCAAAAAGAGCTCTGGAGAGATAGCAAATACCCTCTCCTGCCTCAGCTTATCAGGTACAAACAGCCTTTCTTCCCTTAGAGCATCTTTGGAAATTACCATTTCTCAGTCTCTCCAGACTAGGGAGCTTGTTAAGGCTTGCCTCTTAAATAAGGTGACTGAGCCTCACTGGCAATGCCTGCTAGATTAGGGCAGTGTCTAACTTTCTCCTCATTTCTGCTGTGTAGAAGCTGCCTCTATGTCTGGTGATGATAACCTTGAAGATGACTACTTAATTTGAAGCCTGCTTCAGCTGCCTCAGCCGTCTGTTTTGCTGTGTGAGTGGAGCTATCATCTCTCTGTAGCAACAGGAAAAGGAATGAGGGTGACAATGGGGGCCTTGCTTTACTCTCTTCTCCATAGCCTATCTAAATAGTACTTCTCTGCAGCTGCTCTCCTATAGCTTAACTTGCTCTCAGACTGAGCCCTTTCAAGCTTTTTTTGTCTTTGTGTTTGTTTTTGACAGGATTTGGTGCCTGGAGAGAGGAGCCTATGATAAAGAGATCTATGCAGTTCTTCCTTTATTACACAATATGGTTTGCTGTGGACCAAATGCATTTTCTCCTTCCATGGGATGACCAGAAAGAGTATGGGGTAGAGGGAGATACTCCACCCCACACCAACCTTCCTTCCAGTGTTTGAATACTGCTGCATTTTGTCCAGGCTGCTCAACATCTGGCTTGTTCCCCTCAGTCCGAATGCACACTTCTGCTAGGCTGTGTCCTTTTTGAGGCTGGGAAGCAGCCAAGGTTTGGTCGTTAGAAGTGATGATTCTGCACACTTCTGACTCACCTTCTCAGGTGACTCTGGTGAAGGGGAGTTTTTGAGTGATGAAAGACTGCAGTTGAGTCAGAAGGCAAAGGCAAAAATCAGCATATTTGTATTAAAAACCCTCAGGAAGTGGGAGAGAGAATGCTGCCTTTTATCCTCAATTGCTGATGCTATTGGAGACAAGTCTTTTGAAAACAGTGTTCCATTTATTTTTCTGTACACTTTGGTTAAAATATAAGCAAGGGGAGAGGCAGCTCAGGAAATATTCTAAATTGCTAGTATAGCATCTATAAAATATATATATATACACACACATATATACACATACCCCCAAAGAGAGAGAATGTATATAGTTGTTTAAAGTGTTTGGGAGATTCTTTGCTGAATAAAGTTCTCAAAAAATTATCTAAAACTAAATACTGGTTGAATCACAAGGTGGAAGCAGGCCTATGGGTATCTTAGGGACCTTTTGTGAAAATTGTGAAGACCTCACACAGAAGGGCCTGTCTGTGAACAAATGCTCCTCCCTTGTATTCTTTCCCTAAAGTTTCCAGGAACAACTTAGGTTTGGGCTGTGTGAATAAGACCCCACCTACAGTTTGGAAGAAAAGGCCTGGATTAGGATTATAGAAACCAGGGTCTACAAATAGATCTCTGGATTTTAGGCAGCCTGTTTCTCTACAGCCTTTCCACTTCTGATGCTATGGTGAGGATCTAGTGAAAACTGTAAAGGTAATTGAAAGTAAATATAAATGTAATATGGGTGGTAAAACAATGACAAATGAACATTTTTTAAAAAGGATCAACAAAGTAAACAGAAAAACTTGAAATTAACATGTAAGAATACCTTTTTTAAAAATCTAGGAATGAGTGATCTAGGTCTGTCCATACACTACACGTCAACTCGATATTCCCATTGTGACAATTTTCAAAATTTATTTTCTCAGAAAAATCTCACAATCCCATGGAGGAGCAGCTCTAATGAGCAGTCTTAGAAAAATCAGTGAAGGGCTGCCACTGACCTTTCAGACCTTGCCTCAGCCCTGGAATTGTTGCCACTCGACAGCAAGGTCATGAGGTCACTTAACCCCGTTTCCTCAGCTCCTTGGCCTTCCTTTACTGTTAAGTAAAGAGTACCCGTAATCTAAAGCATAAGACTTCTTGCTGTGGAAAACGAACACTATCTCATTCCTAGCTACAGTTTGCTACGTATAAAAGTTTGTTCTTTTAATGTGGCTTTTAAGTCTTGTTGGTTAACATCCCATTCTGATAGGTTCCTTCTTCAACACAACCCTGTACTTTTCCTACTGCCAGGAATGCCCTTTTCTATGCTTCCTACCTGAAATCCCCGAGTCAAAGCTGTGGGACCCATGTGCCTTCTCTTTTCTCCACATCCAAAGAGAAGGAATTAGCACTTGTATCCAGTTTGAACTGAAATACATCAATGAAAGTCTCCCAGTAAGGCTCAGTTCTTGCTCCTGGCAGGTGCTCAGTAAATGGTTAGAATAAATGGGAAAATGAGTTTGGAGTGAGGGGAAGGTAAAAGCCTCAAATCCTTGGGTTCCTTTCCTCTTTATTCAGGTCCCTCTGATCTCAGTCATTAAACGTTTCCTACAGTGAATTCAGCTCTGTATGGCCCATGTTCCATTCCAGCTGATCCCACCTTCCCCCCAAGAAACAGTGAACACTTGAGGATTGCACTACCCTTTATTCCTAGGATAGAAGAAGGTGTCTCGAATCACATCCTGGGTCTCATTTATCAAGGCCCCCAGCCCCTCACAGAGTAGGAATAAGCATGTTCAGGGAGGTTCACTGGGCAGGTGGTCCAAGTCCCTTTCAAGGGGATACACCATAAAGATGGCATTGTTCCAGGGAGGGAGGGCAGGGTGACCTGGTCTGACCAGCTCAAAGCCCATGTAGCTGAAGGCTCGTAGTAGGGCACCTATGAAAGAAGAGAACAAATTGGACACTCTGAAACTCAATACCACTATTCCCCCAGAGACTGGATTTTTTCATTAGGGAATGGCTGTGGGGAGAGTAGTCTAGTGTAGGCATCAGGATGATGTGCTTTTGAAGTCAGACTTTAAGACTGTAACCCTGGCTTTAACATTTGCTTTGCTTTGTGACATCCTACGAATTAGCCCTTCTGAACTTACTCTCTGTACAATGGGGACTATAGAACCTTCTTCACAGAATTTAAACAAGATGTTTATGAAGTGCCTAACACAATAATGGTGTAAACTCACCACCATCTTTTGACTTATATCCAACAGAGTATCAAGTCCTTGAGGGACAAGGTGGTAGTTTTTTTAACATGTGGTCCAAGCATCTAGTTAAATATATTCCTGTCCTGGCCTTATGGGCCTTATGCCTAACCCTTTCATACTGTTGGTATCTAATATTTGAAATCCTTTCTGTCCTACCAGCCAAATTCCTTCAATGGATTCTGTGTAATTTAATTAGTGCTCTTTTAGTCTGGCTTCTGAAATTTATCTGTAGGAACTTCCTAATAGTCCACTTGTAACTTGAACAGAATGCTATATACTTTCATTTCCTTGGTGGGGGTAACCTGAAATGCTTGAGCATGCCTTTTTAAAAAAGAGTTGGGGGGAAAAGGGTCTCTTAAAAAGGAAAAGTCACTATTAGCTGCTGCTGCTGCAGCACGAAGGACCAAGGACAGCAGATCTTCACCTCTGTCATTCCGGTTGTTTTGGAAGTTTACAAACACGGAGTCCACATTGGTCTTTTCCTCAACGTACTCCAGTGTGGCAGTCAAACTAGGAGCCAGGGAGAAAAATCATGGTTAATGAAATGTCTAGCAAATTCAGAATCCAAAAGAAATCTTATTGGTCAGTTTTTGCTAACCCAAGCCATGAAATGAAGTTGCTAAACTAGTTTTGATAGATTTTTCTCTGAAGCCAAGGGGTTGCACACTATGAGGCTGGATGGTATCTGGGGAGAAGGGACCAGTCTATAAAGTCAACAACTGGAAAGCATGTCCTGTTCAACTGTTTATGGATCCTCACTTCTGTGTTTTTGACTCTGAATTCAGCAACCTTCCAGGGACTGTTAATCCCTTGAACTCCGGATCCAGGCTGGCTCACAGGCCTGTCTGCATGCCAGTTCAGTGGTTTGACTCTATCCAGCTCCTGAGTCAGCTCTCACTGGTTAGCAGTATGCCCAGTATCTGATGATGTGATAAAAGAGTGAAACCCCAACTCTCTTCCCTCCCTACTCCCCCATCCAGGCTCGGTCACCTTTCCTGGTTGCCTTGATCCAAGGCCCGATATGGGATATCCAGGAAGAGTCGATGGTCACAGAGAAGGCCGTGCCAATGAGCAGAGGTCTGGGGGGTGAGGCGGAAATGGAAGTCCAACTGCACCGGGTCCTGGTGGGGTAAGAGGTCAGTAGCCAGCACCGTCAAGTTCCCAGCCTGGAAAAGGAGTACAAATGAGAGTAACAGTCTCCTACTTTTAAGTGCAGCATGCAGCTAGTACTTACATATCAGATCTCAGGTCAATTTGGGTGTCTGAGGAAGCAAGGAGGGGGCTAATGGAGAGCCTGGGAGAACTGAAGACAAGGTCTTATTCAACTATATATCATTTTGCCCTAAGACCTCACTCCTTCTCTGTCACAGAGTTCTCCTCAATAGCAAACATCTGAAATCTGGATTCAGATGTCAATGCAGGATTACTGCCTGCTAACCTCAGCTCAGGGTGTACTATCCCTTTTGAAAGTGACATTTACATCACAAAGCTTATTTAAATAAAGTTGTGCCATCTGTTTGTGTCTTATTGATAATACCCTTCCACTTTTTTCCATCAAATGAGTTTACTCACAATTCTCCCATTTCTCATCTAAAATGCAAAGGTCACACACAAGCAAGTTACTGTAAAATGATACAAGGGCAAGCGCAGGAGGTCTGGGTTCTAGTCCAAGTTAGCATCTGAACAGCCTTATGTCCTACAAGTCTTTTATACAGTCTGCTCTTTGTTCCCACTTCCTCTTTTGCCATCCTGCTTTTCGCCACCACCTTAAGAGCTCTGGGCCAGAATCTTTATCTATAAAGCAAGTAGCTTTTACACATGAGCTTTAAGGTCTCATCTTGCTCTTTCTATGATTTATTTTTCCAACTAGCTAATGTTCCTTCTGTACAAGGTATTACAGCAGGCATGGGACTGCCCAGCACCAACTCACAGTCCACTTACCGAATACAATTCTTTAAGCTGGTCGTGGTCACCCTGCTCGGTGCTTCTGCCCATCTGGGGGCCTACTAGGGACTCAGGAGCACTGAAGACAGGAACGGGGCCGGAGTGTCAAGTCCTCCCGTTCCTTATAAGTGATGCTGGTTGGGAAAAAGAGACCCAAATTAGTTTAAGTCTGAGTTGGGGAAATGGTTGTAATTCCCAGAAACACAGGACCAGGCTCTGGCACTATTTATCTTCCCTAGAGCAGTTTGTTTCCATTTTCCCAAGCCAGCCAGTTGGAAAAATTCTTAAATTCCATGCCAGCCTTTCACCCTACTTTGCTATTATCATCTCTTGCCACTTCAGAAGTTATTTCAAATTCCTGTATATTTCCTTACATTCTACATAAACAACCAGAAGTAGAGATGAAAACAAGTACCTTTTGTAACAAGGCAGCATTTTCTCCCGGAGGGTGATCCGGTATTTGTAACAGTAGAGATAATAGGCGTATGGTGACCAGATTGGGTAGAGGTAGTTCCGTGTTTTTCCCCTCTTGATATAAGAAAGGGAGTAGAAAGAGGGGCGCAACCTGTTACAAGGCAGTTTCTCAGTTCAGTGCCTCCCTGTGGCAAAGTGAGGTTCAGAGATGGATGACAAAGGTTTAGGCAACCTGATGCCATTGTGACCCGGTGGGCATTATGACATGGACAAGGAGTCAGCTTTTATGTCATTTCAGCACTCAGCTGCCCCTTCCCCTTTAGCCAAGTATACCTGACCCTTCCCCTTTAGCCAAGTATGTAATTCACAACTGGGTCAGTGGTCAACAGCCCTGCCCTGAGTATTTGTTGTGCCTACCCAGCCTGCCCCTCCCCCCAACCCTCACATACAAACACCACCTCCCCTAAGTTTCTGCAACTAAAGAGTTGGTGTCCAGGGGCTGACCTGATTGTTTGGTTCCTGGCTCCATTCAGTTCAGTATTTTCATTATCATTCCTACCTTTAACAACCCAAGGGTGCTACACATGTTTAAACTCTCTAAATGCCTTGTAGAGCAAGAATTGCAAACTAACTGTCTCCAGGAGTCCTGACAGCTAAAAGAAATTAGTGGAGCTGCTGGGTGGGGCTGTAGCAAAATGGAAAGCTCACACCATGTCTCAAGCCAACACAACTCAGCTCCATCCATCTAGTTGCCATGCAGGAATGCAGACTCTGTGGTACCAGAGTGTATGATTATTCAACAAAACTGGAAAGACAGATTTTTGTGGTAAATGTCTCCAATTTTTAAAAATTGAGTTAAAAAATTAAAACGATTAAAAAAAACATTGTGAGTAAAACTTAGTTCTGGGGCCACCAGTAGGAGACCTGTGCATATTCATTCATCCATTCAACAAATATTTATTGAGGGCCTACCATGAGTCAGGCACAGTAAACAAAGATCCTTGCCCCATGGACATATCTTCTAACAGTGAGAGAACAAACCTAAACAAAAAGCATAAGATGTTAGAAAATATGTTAGAAAATATACTATGAAGAAAAAATAGAGCAGGGTAAAGGAGGATCAGGAGTGTAAAGGGGATGAGGCAGGTTGCAGTAATAAAAGGGTGAACCAAGTAAGCCTCATTGAAAAGGTGACATTTAATCAGAGTTGAAGGAGGCGGGGAAGGGGTAAGAACATTCCATCCATGCCAACACAACAACCAGCGCAAAACCCTAAGGAGGAAGTGTAACCGGAGTTTTCAAGAAAAGGGACGCCACTGTGGGTAGAGCAGTGTAAGCTGTAGGAGAGGAGAGGGAGGTGAGGTCAGAGCTGTCAGACCAGATCACATATGGCCTTATAGACCATTATATGGACTTGAATAAAGCAGGAAGTAATTTCAAAGTTTTTGGCTGGAAGAATGACATGGTCTGTCTTATGTTCTTAAAAAGACTCTGACTGATATAAACTGTAGAGCATTAAAGCAGCATTTGTCAGGAAGACTATTGCAGTAATCCAGGCGAAGGGTAGTATCTTATTCCAGGGTGAGGCATTAGAGGTGATGGGAAATGGTAAGATTCCTTAAGCACATTAAAGATAGAACCCACAGAATTTCCTAGTGTGTGAAAGAAGTTGAATAAAAAAACTGAAAGAACGGAGTTTCCATCAACTGAGATGGGAAAGGCTCCAGGTGAGGCAGTCTGGGACAGGGGAATAGAGATTGGTTTAGTTTGGAGCATGGTAACTTTGAAAAGTCCATTAGACATATAAGGGCAAGACAAATAAGTAGTTGTATATTCAAGTCTGGAGTTTAAAAGTCTAGGATGGAGATAGAAATGTGAAAGTCATTGGCATATTAATAGTACTTTACACCATGAGACTGAATGAGATCGTTAGGAGTGTATATATTGAGTCAAGAACCAACCACTGAGTCCTGGGGGCACTCTAAGAAGGGAGAAAAGGTGAAATCAGCAAAGGTGACTGAAGAAAACTGGTGCCCTGGAAAAAAAGTAAAGAAAGTATATTAAGGAGGAGGGACGGCTGGTCAAAGGTCATTTATGGGTCAAATAATATGATGCACAGGGCATCTTTCCACAATCTCCTCTGCCAAACAGACCTCACTGATTCCATTTATCGGATCTTCTCTCCAGTACTGAGCCCCTCCATAGTTTCCTTTTCTTATGGCTTATCTCCCCTATGACTTAGGGTTCTTTAAATATTTTCTTAAACACCACACTTGTACAGATTAAAAGACAAATCCTGGGTTATCATAGTTTTCCAGCGGAATTCATCCTTTCACCACCTTTAAGTAGATTTGAAGTAAGCAAGGGTGAGAGGGGCAACTCCCTCCCCTCAGTATCCAGTTTATCAACTGTCAGAATTGGAAGGGACTTCAGAGAGCTACGTACGGCAAAGCCAACAGCTGCGTCTTTTCCGGGTCAGTCCACCTAACAGTCATTCTATTATCTGTCAGTGCAATGGCCATCCCTCCCCCAAAAAGAAACAGGGAGAAGGGAGTGAGGAAAACGCTGAATCTCGGAGCATGGACTCGGATCTCTGGCCTCCCCGCCACAGCGAGGCAGAAAAGCCGCTGTGATCCACCCCGCGCGGTGCCTTATCGGTTCGCCGGGATGCAGCCGCGCCGATTCAGGCGCGCCGCGGGCACCCGACGGGGGCCTTCCCTGCGCCGGCGCGGGTCTCCTCCAGGTCCTCTCAGTGCTCGGGAACATGGCGGCTCCCATGGTGGTCCCGGGCCGGGCTCTGCTGCGGGCGGCCGCTGAGCGGCTGATGCATGGAGGAATCCGGGTGCTGCTGCGGCTGCCACTCGAAGGAAGGACCCCCCGCCTAGAGCGCAACTTCAGCCTCTCTCACTGTCGGGTGAGGGCCAGGTTTGGGTGTCGGGACCCTGGACTCTGGTGGGACCCTGGACTCTGGCGGGGCCCTTTACGCCCGAGTCTCATTTCTGAGGGCGCGTTGAGACGTAGCGGGCTCTACCGGAGTGGCGGTCGGCTCGGGGACCCAGGGGCCTCTGCGTGAAGACTCGCTCATCCTGCCTGTCTGGCCACTAGAGCACGGTCGTCGTGGAGCGCTGGTGGAAGGTGCCGCTGGCCGGGGAGGGACGGAAACCGCGCTTGCACCGGCGACACCGCGTCTACAAGCTGGTGGAGGACACGAAACACCGGCCCAAAGAGAACCTAGAGCTCATCCTCACGCAGTCAGTAGAGGGTAAGGCCCGGGCACAGGTACTTCAATCCCAGGCTGGTTCTGCTTAGCACCAACTTTTTCCTGCCCTGTCCCCTCAGCTGTTTGTTGCCTTTTCCTACTTTGTGGGAAAAATCAGCTCTACATTTGAGAAGAGAAAGCCATAAAAAGTACTTCGATTGTGCTTCAGCCTCTTGCACAGAAAATTAGGAGTGCAGGAACATCGTTGTGTGTGCGTGTGTGTGTGTGGCGCGGAGAGGCCTCTGTGCCACAGACAAGAAATCCTGTGATAGGACAACGCTTCACTTTGTACAGGCAATATTAAGTTTCTAAATCAGGCCCTCAAGAAACTAATTAGAAGTCTCTTAAATGTTGTTCCTACTGAATATTAACATTTCTTCTAGGAAGAATAAGAACTGAGAGAACGAGAGGAGCTTCTACCTTTGATCATCATCTCATGAAATACTGACCCAGTGTCTCTGTTTGCTTTGGCAGAGCTTGGAGTCCGGGGTGACGTGGTTTCGGTGAAGAAATCTGTGGGCCGTAATCGACTGCTTCCTCAAGGACTGGCGGTATATGCGTCTCCTGAAAACAAGAAGTTATTTGAAGAAGAGAAATTGGTGAGCTCAAGGAAATGCAAAGGGAGGAATAAAACCTTAAGATTTTCTCTAGCAATTTCTGTCCTTTTTATATTTAATTTGAAAATGAAGTGGGGACTAGAACAGGAATTCAGAAAACCAATCTATGCTTAGTATAGTAAGAGTTTATTGTTATTTATTATGGGCTCACTTTTCTTTTCTTTTTTTTTTTCCTTTCCATCTTTAACTTTCTTTTCTAGCAAAGACAAGAAGGAAAATTAGACAAAATCCAGACTAAGGCAGGTGAGGCGGTGAGTACAAACATATAAAGTATTTATTATCTATAGGAGTCACCAACCTCTTCTTGAGAGGTTCATTGATTTCCTTGAAGTCTCTTGATTCAGACACAAGGGTAGCAAAAAGGGGAAGATTTGTAACTTCTATAACTGGTACTGAAACCTCCTGGGAAATCCTGGCCTGTTGGGTGAAGTGCCCCGGCTTACTGAGTGAGGCCCCAACCTGGGCACCAGGGGACCATGGAAGAGTGTGAGATGAAGTCTCTGCCTCGGGAACCTTGGGAATATTTACAGATAAGTTAGAGAGAATGTATTACCTGCAAATAAACTCAAGATAGTAAATGATAAGAGTGACCTGGACCCAAATGGATTAGGGTAATTGGAGAGGGCTTTTTTCCCAGACGGGGTTGAATTAGGCCTTGTGGGACTGGTAGGATTTGGTTAGGCCAGGAAGGTGTAAAAGGTATTCTTAATATAAGAAAAAGTATAAGAAAATAGTTAAAGCATGCATTAACATAGAAAGTAGAGTCTAGCTAAAGCAGAGGCCTTGTATAGTATAATATTAGGAAACATGGCTGGAAAGGGGATTGGGGCAGGATTTACAAAACATGTTGAATCCTCAGCAAGTGAATTGATACTTTATTCTGTAAGCAAGAAAGAATCATTAACGGGGTAGGGGTGGAATTAAAGTGCCAAAAGTATTGAGTTAAAACAGTCTATGAAAGCCATTCCATCCTGAGGTGTACCAGTGGCCCCCATTCATACAGAAACACAGCCTGTTTCCCCTTGATGAGGAACATCTAGATATAGTGGGCATTCTCCTCCAAAGCGGCACAAAAACATATTCCCACAATATCAGCCTTGGCATGAGAATGTCCTTGCTCTTTTCCATTCCTTTCTCTTTTCTCACCTGTCTTGGCTGTGAGGCAGAAATTGTGCCTCTTGCTAACATGATTCCAGCTCTAACATAACCCCTGCTTATAATTCCTTCCAGACAGTGAAATTTCTGAGAAGCTGTCACCTGGAGGTGGGGATGAAGAACAATGTCAAATGGGAGCTAAACCCTGAAATAGTTGCCCGCCACTTTCTCAAAAATGTGAGTGTTCCCATGTAGTGCTGTACACTGAGGGTAGAAGCTACCTCCCTGTGTCAGGAACAGTGTGCGTTTAGCTGGAGTTAGGGAAAGTGTTCTTGGGTGGTTTGCAGGGGTGTGGGAGGGAAATGGCTGAGAAATAACAGTGGTCACATAGAATTTGAAGACAAATGAAAAGAGATGGTATCATTTATTTCCTCTCCAGCTAGGGAAAACCTGAGGAAATGTGGCTCACTGGAGAATTTTTCTTTTGTGAATGAAGTAATTTAGGTCTCTCGCCCTTTTTCTCTTTGTGAGTCCACCTTTCTGAGAAATTAGGACTGAGTTTCTCTGCCACTGTGGATGTGGATGTATCTGTGGATGTCTGTGCCCTCCTGTGGGATTAGCCAGGATAAACTTCCCAGGTTTATTCAGCTCTGTACAGGAAATCCTAGAACCCTCTTTATGAGGTTGCCTAGAGTGGCAGACATATAAACAGAGCTCCTTTTTCTGATTCTTTTTCCAGCTAGGTGTTGTGGTAGCCCCACATGCATTAAAGTTACCAGAAGAGCCCATCACACGGTGGGGCGAGTATTGGTGTGAGGTGACGGTGAGTATTCACATACGAGCTCTTTTTTCTGGCAGGGTAAAAAGCTGGGATTGGGTGCTGTTAGCTCTGATCTACACAACTGATCTCTGGGGATTCCTGTTCTTTTATATACAGGTAAATGGCCTTGACACTGTAAGGGTACCCATGTCTGTGGTGAACTTTGAGAGGCCCAAGACCAAAAGATATAAGCACTGGTTAGCTCAGCAAGCTGCCAACAGAATGGCCTCCACCAGCTCCCAGACAATCTGAACCTACCTGTTCTCCCTCAAAAGCAGCAAAGCAGAATCTGAGGCACAGTGGAGCAAAGATGGGCCAGCTCTGGCCGAATAATTGAATTATAGAGAGCATGTCGGAACATTGGACAAAACTGTATATTCATGTTGAATTCATCATTTTGCCATCTTCATCTTCTACTGTTACCACATCTTGCCTTGTTGGGGTAATCCTGCTCAAGAAGTACCAAGCTATAGATTCGATAAGCCGAATATTAATAGACTAAAACACTCCCGATCCTATTTCCTCTTCCTCCATTGGAATTCACTGGAACAAATGGAAGAGCTAGCTATTATCTTCAGTACTTGACTCATCCTTATCGAAAGTGAACGAACATTTATGTCTCAAGAAGAAATAAAGAGGTTGTATTCTTTTTAGGTGTTCTTTCTACTGTGCTTCAGTAGACTGAGGACAGGATATCCACATGGGATGTCCCCTTGAGCCACCAAGGTTTGCTACTAAAAAGGAAGAATAGGATACATTTGCAGGCTACAGTTACTATGGGCAAGTTGCTCATGAGCTGTAATGTCTATGGCCTTAAAACTTGCTCTCATTAGGTATATTGATATAAGTCATCAATGTAAATATGCATAATGGCCCTGGTTGGTGTGGCTCAGTGGATTGTGTGCCAGCCTGTGAACTGAAGGGTTGTTGGTTCGGTTCCCTGTTAGGGCACGTGCCTGGGTTTTGGGCTGGGTCCCTAGTTGGGAGCACGTAAGAGGCAACTGATTGATGTTTCTCTCCCTCTCTCTAACAATAAATAAATAATTTTTTAAAAAATTGGAACAATGATTTAATGTCTCTTCCTCTCTCTCAAATCAAATAAAATTTTTTTAAATAAACAAATAAGCACAATGGATTCTCCTTTTCTAAGGCAATCTGAATTAAAGCCCAAGGGTAATTGCTGGGGAAAATGAAGCTGGGATGGAAGAAGCTTAAAAAGGAAACCTGTTTTGTTTCTTGAACCAGCCACTAAGATTTCAAACCAAACCAAGGTTAAGATGGGCGCTGGTCATCTTATGGGATGGGTGCCTTGATAAGAGATGAAAGAGGTAGTTCTGCATAAGTTTGAGGTCCATTAATGGGACAAATACCCAGCTGTTGACAAGTGAATTATGCTGGAGTCATAAATGAGGGGTCATGCAATTTAAGAAGGATAAAGACGGGGCATTGACTCTTACTGTCCTTAACCAGAGCCTGTAGCGCTTAGTTTTTGTCAGACTGAGTCAATTAAGCTACCACTCCCAGATAATTAAGCACTTGAATTCACTTTCATCCACATGAAGCCATCTCAGCTAATGAGAGGTCTGTCATCCGTGGTTGCACTGAAAACTACCCAGGCTCACACTTGCCAGAATGCTGTATGTAACTCTAGCACTGGTATTTGAAATTTGCCATTTCTATGATCCCCATCCCTACTGTTACTACAATGGAAAGCTTATTTAACACAGCATCTTTCCACACCAGCACCATCACCATCATGAAGTCTGAAATTGAGCAATAGGCACAACACTCCACACAACTAGTTTCAAAGTGTTTAGATACTTGCCATAGGCTCTGGCTGGTGTGGCTCAATGGATTGGGTGCTGGCC